AGAACCAGACTATAAATGGTTTGCATGGCCAGTGTTCCTTTGCAACTACACAACACTAAAACTGATGTCCAGACCTCATTGAGTTAAGCCCAAATTTGTTGTGTTCAGATATTAACCTGTCACAATGATGTGTAAACGCTTATATGAAGTTTATTATCATACAGTAGAAGAAACATAAGCAGAATTACAAACAAACTTCTTAAAGAATTCATAATAAACAATTTAAAATTGGGAAATGGCAAAATTAGGAAATCTGAGAAGGCTAATACTACATTCACCTAAAGACAAATAACAGAAATGAAAGCTTAAGAGACATAAACATAAAGAAATATATAAAAATTATCACAGTTGTTCTTTATCACAAAGAAATCTCACTGACAGTAATACAAGAAAAAAAAACTAAATTAAAAATCACTTCAAAGTCAGGCAACAACTTTCAGCGACACCCAACAAAAGACTCATTGTACTTTTCAAACGGCTGATGCACGCTCCTTGAATTCCTTGGATTCTGCACAGACCTCCTGCCAGGCTTCTGCTTGAAAATTGGAGAGCGGAGGAACTGCACATCTGTGAACTTATCTCCCCGCCGAAGTTTCCTATTGAGGAGAAATGTTGAGTTTTCTTGCAGTAACAAAGAAAATAAAAACACAGTAAACCACGTGCAGTAGAGAGCGTTTGTGAGCTTACGCGTGCAACGAGGGCTCCTTGTAGTTGACCGCCATGGTGCAGCGCCGCTTGCGGATAGGAACGGGGGTGGAGCATCGAGAATCAGACGAGCCTCCACAGGAAAATTTACGATAGGCTGCAGGGGACAGATTGGTCACATCACACAGACTCAAGCCCCGCCCTGCTGGCCTTACACCAAGCCCACCTGCAGGAACGTGAAGGAAAACGTGACCCGTGAGAAAGAGGAAAAAGGAAACGGGTAAATTCACACGCATACACCAGTGCAACACAACAAAAAGGTGAATCAGCCAGCCCCTTGTGCTCAAAGATGTTGGCAACAAAAGGTTATTTATCAGAAAGAGAACACTTTCACAGTGATGTGTAAACTGGACATGCAGTTTTGGATTGAATCCTGTAACAGCTTACGTTTCTTGCATGATTTGAGCCTCTTTGGAGTTTGGTGGGGTAAAAGTGGTGGAGCTTCACCGGAGGAATCTCCAAAATTGGACAGGACATTGTCTATTCTCATCATCTCAGCTTCAATCAGAGGGCTGACAGGAAGCAAACAATCATTCTCCATTCCTTCTCCACGAGCCTCTGAAGCACCAGAACAAACAAACAAACAAACAAACAAACAAACAAACAAACACACACACACACACACACACACACACACACACAGTTTAATTACCATTTCATACTTTTTTGTTTATGTTTATTATGTTTTTTGTTTAATTCGTTTTTTAATGGCACAAATTAAACACCTACCTTGATAATTATCATGTTCTATCTTTACAGGGTCAGGGCTGTTAGAATAGCTAAAATCAGGTGACTGATCGAGGCGACCTGCTGCCTCTTCAGAGCCTGTAGTCTTGGGACTTGCCTCTTCATCTCTGAAGACTACAAAAAACAAAATTCAATAAAATACCAGAACGTCTTCAATTATCAAATGTTAAAGAAAAAAAGAGACCAACAACAAATAAAAAATTAAACAAAAGCTGAGATTAAAAACAAATCTAAATGCTTACCAGTGATCTCTGGTTTCGGAGGGATGTTTTCCGTCTTTCTGACTGCGCTGGAGAGCCGGCCTCTTCGAGTGGTGATGCCCTTGGTCTTGTTAGGGGAAGCTGGTCTCTGTCTGGTCTTGTGAGGAACATAAAGGCTGTCTTCTGATTCAGAAGATGGAGATGAAGAGCTGGATTCACTGGTCTTGGAAATCACAGGTGAAGTTTCAGCCTGGGCCTGTCCTGTTTCTTGAGCCTCCTCACTCAAGGGTGTAATTCGCTGATTATCCTCAGCCTTGGCCCTGAATGGCGTGATGTGGACGGTCTCTTCACAGTCAAAGTCAAATGTGTCATTAAATCCCAGTGAAGTGTTGAGTTTATTGCCCTGTGCTGGAGGTGCTGTTTTGGCCCGTGTGGCTGATCGGTCCCGACTCTTTGACCTGGTTCTGGGTTTGGTATTCTCCCATGGTTTCTTTAATGGGGCACGCTCTGGTTTGCGCCCTCTCTCGGGTTTTCTTGAAACCTGTTCTGGTTTGGAGGACAGCTGCTGTTGCTGTGTCTGCTTCCTGGCGACCTGTTGTCTGCTTTTTTTGGGTGGCACTGGTTCAGGAGTAGAGTGCTGTAACTCCTCAGCGAAACCTGGATCTGCCATCTCTTGTTCTTCTAATTTTTGCATTTGACTGAGATTTTCACTGTCACTGCGAATAGGACTTGGGATCCAAGACCCAAAGCCAGGAACTGGACCTTCCTCACCCAGAATCCTCTGTTCTTGCAAACGTTCAGACCTCCTCCTGTTTTTATCTGTACGCTGACGCCGCACTCCTACTGTAGATGGCAAGGTCACCTGTTTTTCACACTGAGGATCCCCATTCTTGTTAGAGAGCTGAGGGTCTATGAAGAAACAAACGAACACGCACACACACATTAAATAATTTCAATGTCTTGACTGTAGGATTAAGATAGATGCAAATGTCAGAAGAATAAGATTGAGACAATGTCCAAAGTTACTATATTAAAAGAAAGACCTCCAATAAGTAATATATTTGGTTAATAAGTTAACAGTCATGGATAATACATAACAAAAAATCTGGGATATTGAAGTATTTTTATGCATACCTGCACAAACTGGTGAAGATTCACAGATGATGTGGTCCAGGTTCTGGCTGGTCCGCTTTCTTCTGTAATTTAAGAGGAAGCAAATCTCAATATTTCACTCAGTTTAAGGCATATAACATTTTTTATGTAAGTCATTAAGTTTTAAAACCTTACCTAACTGAATGCATGTTGTGCTTGGCATCAGTAGAAGGTTTAGTCTAAACGAAGCAAATAAATAATTCATACATTTTCTTTTACATTCAAAGTGCAGTGTCTCAAAATAATTCATATGGTCTACTAATAACTTAGGACATTCCTAATTTAAAAAATAAAATTAAAAAAAATCTGACAGCTGACAGTGCGTACCTCTGAAGCATTCGCCTGCAGAGCCTCCTGTTCTTTCAGCTTTCTCTTGAGCAGAAGCAGGTGAAGGAAGAGTGCCTGCTGCTCTCTTTTCAGCTGCAGGATCACTGCATTAGCCTGCCTCACTTTCTCCTTTTCAGCCTGCAAGGCCACAGCCAGCGCCTTGTTGTTCACCTGCACACCCATCAGGATGGTGTGCGTGGAGGTACTTCCTGAGAAAAGAAAAACGGAATCCAGTAAATGTCAGCATCATTATCAGAATATTAACACACCGTCTCACAGTGTGGTATGCTGGCTGCTCAGCTGCTGACAAAAAAGCTCTACTGAAGGCCATTAACACAGCTGTAAACGACAGCTCTCAGCCTGGCCACAATCTGTTTGAGTTGCAGCCCTCAGGCAGACACTCATTAAAAACTTGGGTTTCACAGATTCTATTTCTATTACCACAATTAATTTATATTTACATTCTGTTTATTTATTATACTTATCCCCCATGCCAGAAATCTTCACCTGCAGATTGGAAATCAGCTGACCCAGGAGCTTTATGTTCCAACTACCTTTTTTTAAACAATCTTATAGTGTGTTTCAGTAACTTCATGGATTAGTAAATGCAAGAATGTGGGTTTAACATGGATGCAGCAAACTGGAGAGGCATTCCCAATCTCGTTATTTCAATAACAACAAATTTTTTCTATTCTATTAGGTAACTTTATTGGGGGGTGGGCAGAATTGACAAAAGATTATTTACTTACCACTTGTTTTGTTCATCATCCTTGACCGGCCCCCGCTGGGGGCTGAGGCACTGGCCAGACGTTTGTTCCTCTTCTCCTTCATTTTCTCCTTGATGTCCTCCAGACTTTGCTGGAAGGACTTCTTCTGGGTCCGTTCTCTCACCATGACTCGGGATCGGTTATTACGGCGAAGTTCAGTGTGCAGTTCAAAAGCTTAACGCAGTAGCAAAACGGTATATCGGAGCAAAACAAACGAGGAAGCTAATGTGCGAGCTAGCCGTTAACGTTTGTCAACGCACTTTTCACTAACTGCAGTCTGGCATTGTATTCGAAAACAGCACCAAATGAAACCTACCGGAATAAATATTTAAATCACCAACACAATCCGTTTATATGATACCACTCGAGCAAAAAACACATTTAGCGCTTAAAATGAGGAAACAAAATAATAATTTTTTTAATCGCAGCCTCCGTCCTCCGAGAGTTGCCGTTCGAATTGAGAACTTCGACTGCTGATTGGTAAGAATTTCAGACGACGTCACTTCCTCCGCATGAAACGGCCGTCCGCTAGATGGCGCTAATGTATAATAGAAAACAAACCGCGTTTCCTCGCAGAGGAGACGTAATTTATTTAGTATTCATTATTCGTCTGCATATTCTGCTCCATTGAGACTAAACAGGAGACTACCGCACACAAGTACAATTATCTAATTATAATCCCTGCCGCTTCAAGCTGTCCCTTTTCACCCATATCATCCCTGTCAGCTGGAAACAAAGCAAAGAAAAAAAACATCCACAACTGGGAAATAGAGCCATAGTAAACGTCTGTTTTTTCACAAGTAGGAATTAGATTAAAACCCATTAAGGATCAGGCTCATTCAACCAAAATGAGCATTTATAGCATAATTGACTGCTGAAGATAAGAGCATTCAGAGCTCAGTAGAGTGCTCAGCTGCATGTGGATGGAGCTGATAACTGTGTTCATCCTAAACCCTCTGGCAAGCAGTGTTTGAGTCATATTATTTTGAGTTTTTCCTGAAACTGCGGTGGCTTTTTCAGTGTACGATTGTACAGCAGCTAAGAAAGACAGTCAATGATTAGATCAATGTATTTTTTTTATTGAGCTAGCAGGTCTTTTGACAGTCTCTTCCAGTATACAGACTCCTGTCTTCTTCTCTGTGACATGAGGCCCATAATAAGTGCATACCTTTATGCACACTGTCTCTCTCTCACACACACATGCACACATAGAGATCTGCCTCTCTCACAGTCACCCTGCACCCATAAGTACCCATCATTAACCCAGGTTTTGCTCAATAAATGTTCCATAAATACTGGATTACTTGGTATTACATAGTCATGAGCTGATTTAATTTTCCAAGCCACACAGGGGATGTCTTGCTTGGCATGGGATGGGGAGGAAACCTGGACCTTTCTGGCATTGCACTGCAGCTAATTCATTTGGACCTTCTGCAAGTGAGGAGGATGCCAGCCAAGCAAACCGAGACTACAGCGAAGGTTTGGTAAGGTTTGGGTGTTGTCACTGTCACCCACTAAAAAAAATGACTTCAGAAAAGTTGGCTCAGCTGTAAACAGGCACCTGATATTGGACAAGACCATGGATCATTAACAGTCCTCCGTTTAGCTGACCTTTCTCACAAATGTTTGGTTCTTTGTGAATTCTAAGCGGGATTATTTCAACATTACCTGCATGAGGACATGTAGCAATCAAGTTTAATTACAAACAAAATAAATTACACTTATTTTGAAAGAATGTAGCTGATGCCATTTTAGTGTTGGGGTGGAACTGAGTGAGTGTGTGTAAGCCTTACAGTCCTGTGGTGACTCATTGGTGTTTACTTAAAAGGTGTATTATTCTTGCTAAAAGAAAGCAAATGTTACAGCTGTTGCCTCACAGCAGGGGAAATACTCAGTGGTGTTTGTGCGTGTGTGTGTTTTTTTTAGAGAGTCTGACTGCATTAAAGAGCAAAAGAAAAAGAGAGAGAAACGTATAAAGTCAGACGGATAGACAGCCAGAGGGACTCCGCGGGTTTTAGCTCAGCTTGCTTTAATGGACAAATCCATCACACAGTCTTTTCATGCAGCTCCTCGCTACCCGCATGTCAGCTGCCTGGAGAGAAACTTATTATCACAGGTAGAGGAAAAGGGATAGGAGGAAGGGATTAAAATAAAAATAGAGTGAGTGCTGTGGCTGACTGTGAAATTAGGGTACAATAAAGATAATAAAAAGCAAGACGAGACATCAACACACACGAATAGGTTGCCTTTTTTAGTATAACAGTAGCCAGTAGGAGTCTGTCAACCTTTTGTGACGTAATACGGTTATAAAGAGATCATAAACTCATCTCTGTCCACTCAGATCTCTAGCTCCTACATCCGTGTCCAGACATCCTGACTGGCCAATGAAACCATCATCTGCCTTTCTACCAGATGAAAAGTATTAACTCTAATCTGTGAGCTCGCCTCTACTGGGGCCAAAAATACAAAGTCCCATTTTTTAATATGGAAAATGTGCTTATGGTGCCATAATCACAATTTATGGTAATGAAATCATAACATAGGTTGTGTAATCAAAGCCTAAAATTAAACTTTGTAGAGGTTTAGTAGAGGTTGTTTTATAGGCCTCAGACTGATCCGATACTGGTGGAGTAGGTGGCCTCTTTCTTTCTTTCTTTCTTTCTTTCTTTCTTTCTTTCTTTCTTTCTTTCTTTCTTTCTTTCTTTCTTTCTTTCTTTCTTTCAGCAATGCAGAAGGATTCCAGCAGTTTTCCTTCTATGGATGCAAAACCAGCTGCTGCACTACTAACAAACATAACTGCAGCAGCACTCCTTCACACTCACATCCCATTGAACACAGACGACAGCAGGACCGGGCCCCAGACACACAATCAGCTCTCAGTGGGTTGCACCTTGGCCATTATGCCTTACAGCCTGCTCTTGAACACCCTGCCGAGACATTAACTTCACAGCCAACATCCGTTCCCTTTACTGATCTGCTGCGCCATGCCATACTGCTGCACTGCCTCCACAGGACCGGAAAGCCTTGCAGGGACCTAACATATCCTGTCTGGGGCTGCAACAGCCACAGATGCATCTTAAGCAAGAGGCCAAATTGAAGGCTTTGTCTGAACTTTTAACTTGTGCTCACTAGATTGCCATGGAGGTATGCTGACCCAGACAGATGGTGCTTATGCTGCAGCGCCCTCTCAGCCTGCTCACCTTTTGTCTGCCCACTCGAGCTGGAGAGACATTGCTCCCACAGGGCAGCTTGCAAAGGTCTTGTGGTGTAGGAGTGCCAGCCTTTAGATGTGCAATACTTTGACTGGATTTAAAGCCCACAGATTGCTGTTAACCACCTGGTAAAATACCATGAGGTCTCTGAACAGGCCTGTCGTAATTCTTTTTTTTATAATAGGTGAAAAAAAGAAAATTCAGATCCCTGAAAATGCCATGTTCAAGTGGGCCAGTCATATCTGTAGTGTTACAGGGTCAGTCTTTTAAATAATGTGATCAGTGTGTGTGTAAGTATTCCCTGCAACACCCCTAAATCTCTTGTTTTACTCTTGGCACTACATGATGTCATAGAGAAGGGCTGCTAACTAACCCTCTGAGTAGAGAGACCACACTCACCTGCTGTTTAAATCTTCTGACTGAGAGGGGCAGCCAATCAATTAAAACTGTGGCCTTAAAGTAATAAGAACTTAAAAAGTTTTGTTTGACATAGCAGGTGAATGAGGTGTGTGCATCCAGAGCTTTTACAACACAAATCAGGATTTTTTATTTTTTATTTTTTTTGATCAAAGTTTCTCTGGTTGAATGCAAGAATTGAAATACGGCGCTAGAAACGAGAACAACAGGTCCACTTTCATGTAGACTGTGCGGTTGGTTTTGTTACACAAATAAATCCTTGTGTCTCTAAACTTCACCAATTAGCCCATTTGTTGGTCTCAGTTGTTTAATGAGTTGCAAAAGCTCAAGCGTCAAAACTGCACTTTGTTTAATAGGTGTTGTGTGCAAGGTGTGTTTTTGTTGCCAAGTGAGACATTTCCCTTCACAGAGTCCTGATAAACATCCACGATAACCCCATAAAATGGTGAATTGTGTGATGGAGACACAACTATACTGGCACCTCCATACAGAGATGAGAGTAGGATTGGTCTTCTTCTATGATTCAAAGGCTATGAAGCAAATCAGTGAATTTACCAAGGTATGCTTCTCTTCTTTCAACAAACTCTGGTCTAATACAATAATAAGAAAAACGTAAGTATTTTAAGCTTGAATGGTGATTCCTGTCACTCATACTCATTGTATACACAACCTCCTTTGTTCTTACTTATTTGAACTGAGTTGAAATGTGTCAAAAGGTTGCGTTCACACGCCAAGAGCTTATTATAGCCTTTTTATGAACGTGAACAGCAAGCAGCCTTCACATGGCATGCATAGCTCTGCATTGTACTTTTGTAGTCGTTCCAGGTAGCACAGAATAAAAAATTCCCTGGATGCCAAGTCAGGCTTTTGTACTGTTGACATATGTTTATGTGTGCACGTGCACCTGCCAGAAAGCTGGTGGAGAACATAGACGTGAACATGTGAGATAACCAAAGAAAGATGGCAAAAGGTGAAGGAGAAAAGGCGGTTTAGGCTGGCCAGGGAGTGAGCCAGGCAGTTAGGGGGCCAGTGGAGGTCTGAATTCCAATAGCGTGTGGAGAATTGAGCATCCCCCACACAGATGTTCACAGTCATCACCCAGGCAATTTATAATAATATTAACTGCCGTGACAATGGGAAGAATCAGGAGGCAGTGACATATTGGATGATAACTCTCCGAACTGGCCGGTAAGGTTATTTGCTTTGGAGCAACTGCAGGAGACAGAAGTAAAACATCTAACAAATTAATCCAGTTTGGTGTCTGATGAAAGAAAATATGACGAGGGGTACTCTTGCAGCACACACACACACACTCACTGTATCCATACTAAGTGCACCAAACTGACCACATTGCTTGCAGCTGCAGTGTAGTAAACCTTATCAGAAAGACAGACAATAACATCGGTAACATTCCTGCACTGATTTATCTCAGAGATTGAAGCTGGAGGATATGTGGAGGGGCCTTCGGAGACATCCTGCCATGGATGTGTCCTTTTTACCTGAAACAAAAAAAACCTAGGAAAAATTTTCTGTGTGCTGCTAAGTATCAAAGGAGATTAACTGAGCTTAAGTCGTAGTCAGATACTGAGATTTATGATCTGGAGAGGAGGCGACACCTGGCTGCGTCAACAATTCCGGCACATACACGGAGACACGTACACAAGGAGTTGAAATGAGAAAGTCAAATGTTTTTTGTCTTGGGTACGCTCTCATCTTTTTGATGCTTAAAATTTCCATCCGACAAAGACATGAACTTGAATCGTTATTGCACTTATTTATTTGATAAATTGCACATTTTTGGAGCATTTTCACAATAACCTCGTGAGAATGCATTAAGCCTCAGACAGAAAGAAAAGTAGGAACATTGTGCAATTGATGTGAGCGTCCCCAGGAATTTTTTATTAAATTGGAAAGTAATAATTAAGCATGCTCTGAATAGCATTCGTGTGCACGTACAAACACACACAGATATATTCATCATGGAAGTTCGCTATCCTGCATCTTTGTTTTATATATATATATATATACACACACATATATATATATATATATTTCGAGAGAGGGAATTTCTTTAATGCGTCAAAGATTATTAGCAAAAGTGCTACAATATAAAGCAAAAACTTGCACTTCTGTGATGAATACGTCTGTCCACGCACCCGGTAGCATTCACACACTCTCTCACATTTCAAAATACTCTGTTTTCGCCCATCTGCTACCTCAATCTGACCCACTCTGGTCCGTGACACCCATGGTGTCTGTTGGCATGTGAAGTACAAAGGGCACTGGCTTATATCACATCTTGTTCGGGCCTCATGTCTGCTTTTAGCTGTAGTTCAGAAGCAATAGAGACATCGGCCGGGTCAGTAGGGGGAAAACAGAACAGATGTGTGCGTTGTGCAGATGGGTCCGGGTGCCGGATGAAGCAGGGCCTGGGGGAGGGATTGACTGTGAAACAGGGCGGGGTTCGAGTTTGATGCAGGTGGGAGAGGGAATGGGGGCAAAGATGCCATGGCAGCAGCGGCGGCAACAGAGAGCTGACGCTGGAGGACACAAGACGCCAGAGGCTTGGTCAGATCTTGGTTCTTTTGTAAAGTCAGCCTTATCTGAGGATGAAAGACAGGCAGACAAAGTAGTATCAAGTTGATTGTTTTTCCTGGGAAATTAAACAGTTTAAAGTAGGAAAGTACAAGCTGTTCCATTTATCACCAGGCATTTTTATTAATAATCCACTCTCTGTTCCAGTGAAATCCTGCCCTTTTGTCCAACTCATCATGTCAAGGGGTTAGAATTCAGAAAATTTATTATCCTTGAGCTATTGCTGACTATTTGTTTCACTGGCAGTAGGGAGTGGAGCTTCCTGGAAGAAGCCCATGAGGATCAACTCATGTACACAAACACAATGATGAGGGGGTGAAAGTAAGTCAAGCAATAACATGGTACTCACTGCCTGGAAACTCTGGTGACGCTGGGTGAGGGTGTAGGGGCTGAATTTAGGCTTGGCTGGTTTACCTGCCGCTCTATCCTTGTGTCTCCTGCTGCTGATGTGCTGGAGTCGAGGAAAGAGACACGTAGATAAGCACGCAGCAAAATAAACCCACACAGACACGGGCTGCAGCAGAAAGATGGCATGGGTGAAAGAAGAAGATGATGCTTGTGTAACATATGTGTTAAACACTTGTGAATTTCACCCAAAACACTTTCTTTTTTTTGGAATAAATATGTCATTTTTGCATCTCACTTTCCTACCTGTGTGATCTCAGAGCAGAGTCTGTGTGCGTTCATGTGCATGTGTGCGCTGCGTGGTGACGTAGGCGCGTGCATGTGTGCCCCGGTCACAGCTCCTTTCAGCATGGCCGGAGGTAAGTCACTGCCACGTTGCTCTCAGCTAATCAAAGTTTGTTCGGATCCCAAGCTGCAGTGTGAATACAGCCGAACTACCGCGTTTTTGTTTGTCATTAAGAGACTCATTCGGGATAAGTTTTGTGGAGGGCGGAGTTCACTAATATACACTTATAATGAGTTTTAGTCGAGAACGCAGCTAAAATGCTAGCATGCTAAGTTAGCCTGATCGCTAGCGGCTTGAGAGCGTACTCGCGGCAGTCTCTCTTTTTTTAACAGCATGCACTCTTTTTTCCTTCGTCAGGAGAGGTGTACTGGCAGTCGCATGACACACACAGATCGAACGCATATTTCTGTGTTGCAGGTATGGAGATGTTCTTATGTTTTGGAGATGCAGTCTTTCATTTATTGTTCTTATAAGTTGTTTTGATGTTTTTTCAGTGACATATTATTTATTTTGTGCTTTTTGTTTTTGAGAGCTTAAGTTAATGTTTTAAAACAATTTGTTGTATTTGGTACATTAATGAAGCTGCAGGGACAGCTCCTTTCAGCATGGCCGGAGGAGAGGTGTACTGGCAGTCGCATGACACACACAGATCGAACACATATTTCTGTGTTGCAGATGTGCAGTAAAGAGCCAAAGACCCAGTACTGTCTCCTGCCTCTTACTTTCACGCCAGAACACAATGCAGAACAACAGGCGTAACACATGAACGGGTTACATTGGTGCCGTGACCCTTTGGATTCATCAAGCATCGACGTCATCTCGATCACCGTGGGGAGCTCTTCGCAATTGCCCTCGTTCCAAGTTGGTTGCTTTTCCTAACTTGTGTGGGACTTTTTGAATGAGCTTGGACATTTAATCTGCTCAATTCTCATCCTGGATAACATTAAGTGTTAGTTAAGAATACTGTGTTTGCTTTTGTACAGTTGCACTATTTGGAATCTTGTTCCTTGTGATTGTGCTTTATTCATCATTATGGAGTCAGCATCTGGTTCAGAGGCAACTGGTGTTCCTGATGGGGAGGTTTCCTCTAATGTTGGTATGGGGCGAGGGTGGTTTCTTGGGGATGGGGTTCAGACACCTAAAGTTGGTGTGTCATTTGCTCCCAAGTTTTGTTCCACCCGTCTCCAGGTTCCCCCCTGTGACATTCAGACCCCGCAGACAGCTGGCAGTGCTGAGTTGAGTACACTCATCTCAGATTTGGCCAATCAGATTGGTCAGTCCATTGTAGCCCAGCTGCAAGGTGATAAGGGGACCAGTATGCCTACTGAAAGCTCTAAGGCTGAGCAGGGACCCCCTGAGCTAAATCTGTCTGGGGTGAAACTTGTCTTGCAATCAGACGTCAAGGAGCCACCAGTTTTCAGGGGTGATGGCAGTGATAAATTTTCCATTCATGAATGGGTCGAAATGATGGAAATGTACTTTGTAAAACGCAACACACCAACAGATCAGCGATCACGTGACATATTGGCTAGGTTGATGGGGAAGGCTAAGGATGTAGTGAGGGTCACCCTACGTCACAACCCCTCACTTGACCATGTCCAGGTTCCTGAATTGATATTTGACATTCTGAAACAGCACTTTAGTGTATTGACTTACTCTTCTATGCCTATGGCTGACTTCTATAACACCAAACCATTACAACATGAGGGAGTGATGGAATATTGGATAAGGCTAAACAATGCTATTGACGTTGCTGACGAGTGCTTGCGTAGGCAGGGGCGTAATGTTGAGGATCCAGGGCGTGAGGTCTCGATGATGTTCATCAAGTATTGCCCTGACCCCATCCTCTTGAACAGGCTCAGCATCAAAGCAGCTGAGGAGTGGACAACCACTGAGGTTCAAGAACGCATTGATAGCTTCCAGCGTGAACTCAGGGCACGCAGTCAGGGCAGTTTCCACACCTCACAGAGGAGAGAGGTTAGCCACAACTGCTCTATTGTGCCTCAAGAAGCGATGGCATCACAGCCTGGGCAGGCCAGTGTCGCCTTGCAGTCTCAGCCTACAGCACCAGCCTCAAACCTCGCTTGTCAGCTTTCGCCCACAGCAGCTTGCTTCACTCCTGTTCTAGCTGATGTTTCGACAACCTGTCCTTCTGGGACATCAGTGTCTTCTTGTCCGGTGCCTACGCCTACTCCTCAGTTCCAACAGTCACCAACATACAGTGTGTCCACTCAATCTAGTCAGCAGTCAGTTGGTTGCGAGCTTGGTTCGACTAACACCCAAGCTTTTGATGTGACCGGCATGCGCGCTCTGATCAGCCTCTTGGATCGCGTGATTGCATGTCAGAATGTGCAGACTACAGCCCCTGCATCTGCACCTTCGCAGCGTTTTACCCGCGGGCCCTTTCTTAAGAAGAGTTGTCAGGTCTGTGGCAACACTGGTCATTCCACTCACATGCACTGCAGGAGAGAGAATCTCTGTCTTGCATGCTTTGCTCCTGGTCATTGGAAAAAGGACTGTCACAGTCGTCGTGAGGGACGGGAGGCCGGGGCTGTCACAAGGCAGGGTTGGCCTTCGGAAAACTGAATCACCCACACTTGGAGAGGGGCAGTGTGGGGGATGAACCTAATACCCTCAATCATGATGAATCGGATCTCGAAATTCTTTATGTCAACACCTGTTCAACAATGCCAGAGGGATACCGTGTCGTGGTTCAGGGACCAGCAGTAGTGCCTACATTTAGTGAATTGTTCTACACCCAAGTTGCAGTGAATGACAAGGTTAACTTGAGGGGCATGATGGATTCCGGGTCTATGGCTTGCACTATGAGTGAAGAGGCCGAGAAGTCACTTAGAGAGGCTGGGGCTCTTGTGAGTGGACCGCAGTCGGCCGAACGTATAGTGCTGGTTGGCTGTGGTGGGAAGCAGACCCACCCAAAGTGCGTTTATGACTTGACACTTACTGTCCACGGTGTGAAATGCATTGTACCAGTTTTGGTAGTGTCGGGCCAGCGTGATGAGCTCATCATTGGCTCCAATGTTCTCAAGTACCTGATGCGAGTTATGAAACATTCTGATGACTATTGGAAGCTTGTGTCTGTGGGAAGCAAGCACTCGCTTCTTGACTATGAGCACTTCTTGGACATGATGTCGTGCACCACCAGATGGAGGGGTGAGGAGGTTCCTGACAAAATTGGCACTGTGAAACTGCCTCGTGCTGTGACGCTACTCCCACGGTGTGAGCATCTGGTATGGGGCAGGCTGCCCAGCAATGTGCCAGTCTCTCCAGGCAGCACGATCATCGTGGAACCTTGCACCTCTGGGTCTGGGCCGAGAGACGTTCTTGTTGGCCGGGTGATCACATCCATGTGGGGTGATCGGTGGGTGCCATTGAAGATGACCAATCTCTCCTCAAAACCACTGACCTTGAAACGCAACTCGAGGGTTGCTGTCGTTTCATCTTGCCTTGCGGTGGAGGACCTTGATTTCCAGCAGGACTCCTGCAAGATGGCGAGTATGGCCCAGGTACCAGTCAGTGGGCCAGCTGCTACTGAGGCCGACTTGAATGACAGGTTGTGCTCCCTAGGTTTGGGTGATCTTGACATTGACTCATGCCATGCCAGCTTACAATCAAAGAGAGAGCTTGTTGAGCTAATTGAGCAGTATGAGGACATCTTCTCTAGACACCCGCTTGACTGTGGCGAAGCTAAACGCTTTGTACATCGGATCCACCTGACTGATGAACACCCATTCCGTATGCCTTACAGAAGAGTACCCCCTGCTCATTACCAACAACTAAGGCAGGTACTCACTGACATGGAGGAGAAAGGGATTATTCGCAAATCCATCAGCGAGTATGCATCCCCCCTCGTCATGGTCTGGAAAAAGGATGGTGGATTGCGGATTTGTACGGACTTCAGGTGGTTGAATGCGCGGACTCTTAAGGATGCACACCCACTCCCTCACCAAGCGGATTGCCTTGCCGCGCTTGGGGGCAATGCCTTCTTCAGCACGATGGACTTAACCTCTGGGTTTTACAACATTCCAATGTGTGAGGAGGATAAGAAGTACACCGCTTTCACAACGCCTGTTGGCCTCTACGAATACAACCGGATGCCACAAGGGCTCTGCAATAGCCCAGCTTCATTTATGCGCATGATGCTGAACATCTTTGGTGACCTCAACTTCACCAGTCTGCTCTGCTACTTGGATGACCTCCTGGTCTTTGCTCCCACTGAAGAGGAAGCCCTGTGCCGGCTCCGAGCTGTTTTTCAAAGGTTGAGAGACAACAATCTCAAGTTGGGTCCAAAGAAGTGTCATCTGCTGCGGAAGTCAGTCAGGTTTCTTGGTCATGTCATCGACCAGACCGGAGTGGCTGTGGACCCAGCTAAGGTGGAAGTGATTTCCAAGATGCCAAAGGAGGCTCTAATGGAGAAGGATGGTTGCACTCCTTCTGTGAAAAGGATTAAGTCCTTTTTAGGAATGGTCTTTTTCTATCAGTGCTTCATTCCTGGTTGCTCAGCCATTGCCAAGCCTCTGTTTGCTCTGACGGCTGGTCAGAAGAGGAAGGGACGGACTAGTCACGCTGGGAGGGGTGCTGGCATGTTCAGGAAGTTGACTGCTGCAGATTGGAGCCCTGCATGTGACAAGGCCTTTCATAAACTGAAGGACGACCTCCTTAACTGTGCCGTGTTGGCTCACCCTGACTTTTCACGACCGTTTATTTTGTCTGTGGATGCTTCTCTGGATGGACTGGGAGCGGTTTTATCACAATTGCCTATCGACGGGGATAAGGCACGCCCTATTGCTTTTGCGAGCAAAGCACTAAGCAGGTCACAGCAGAGATACCCAGCCCATCGCCTTGAGTTCATGGCCCTGAAGTGGAGCATCTCTGAAAAGTTCAGCCACTGGTTGAAGGGGCACCAGTTCACAGTGTGGACTGACAACAACCCGCTCGTTCATGTATTGACCAAACCCAAGCTGGACGCTTATGAACAAAGGTGGGTGGCCAAGCTGTCATCCTACAACTTTGATTTGAGGTACATCCCAGGTCGAAAGAATGTTGTAGCAGATGCACTTAGTCGTGACCCCTTCACCTATCCTATTGGTGGGCGCTTGCTTCAGGAGCCCTACGAGCACTTGGTGCGGAATGCAGAAGGTGCGGCGGCTCATGAGGTGCAGGACGCTTTCAGGTTTGGTGTCCAAAATATTCAGGTTGCCCAACAACCTGTTCCAGCTCTGACCTCAGAAGATTCCTACAGTTCGTCGGAAGTCACGGCTACCTTGGTTCACCATGATTACTGGGAAACCGCTGCGGAGAATAGAGCTGCCTCCCTTCTCTACCTTGTTCAGCAGTTGCAACCAGTTGGCAATGATGTACTGCCATCACTTACCTTACATGAGCTGGAGGACCACCAACTTCAAGATCCCGTCATCTCCGCTGTCCTGCCACTCGTAGCCCGCAGGAGGCACCCTTCCAGGCGTGAGAGACATGGTATGGATTCCAGGGCACTGGCCCTATTGAAGCACTGGGAGAGGCTCAAGGTTCGGGATGGCATTCTCTACAGGGAGACGAGAGACCCTGTGAGCAAAACAAAGAGACTCCAGTTGGTGTTGCCAGTGAATTTACGGGTGCAGGCCTTGAAAGGTGTCCATGATTTGGCAGGGCACCAGGGTCAAGTTCGCACCCTCCACCTAGCAAGGCAACGTTTTTTCTGGCCCAATATGGAGAGGGATGTGAAGGAGCATGTTCGGTGCTGTGGAAGGTGCATACTTGCCAAGACTCCAGAGCCTGCAGCACGAGCCCCATTAGAGAGCATTAAGACCTCTGCTCCCATGGAGCTCATCTGCATTGACTTTTGGTCAGCAGAGGACAAAAAGAAGCGCTCTGTTGATGTGCTTGTGGCAACTGACCACTTCACGAAAATGGCCTTTGCTTTCCCGTGCAAGAATCAGACTGCCAAGCAGGTTGCCAGAAAGTTATGGGACTGTGTTTTTTGTGTATATGGTTTCCCTGAGCGTATTCACTCAGACCAAGGTCCCAGCTTTGAGAGTGAATTATTTTCTGAGCTTCTGCAGATTTCGGGCGTTGCCAAGTCTCACACTACGGCTTATCACCCTATGGGGAATGGGGGCACGGAGCGGTTCAACCGCACACTTGGCAACATGCTGCGAGCTCTCCCCCTCAGAGCCAAACAGGAATGGCCGCAGCAGATTCAGACATTGACCTTTGCTTATAATGCAACTGTTCACGAGACTACTGGATATGCCCCATTCTACTTGATGTTCGGCCGTGTCCCACGACTACCGGTCGACGTTATGTTCAAGTCTGTTTTGCATGATGCCATTGTGGTGGACTTTAACGGCTACTCCAAGCTTCTTCTGTCATACTTGTCTGAGGCTGCCAAGATCGCCCGGGAGCACACCAGCAATGAGCAGGAGCATCAGGCTCGTCAATACAATAAGAAAATCAAAGGTGTGTCTCTGAACGTTGGGGATCGCGTCCTGCTTGCCAATAAAGGCGAGCGGGGCAAGAAGAAACTTGCAGACAAGTGGGAGCCTCAGGTTTACACTGTTGTGGAGAGGCATCCCAGGACCCACATTTACAGGATCAGTGACTCTTCAGGCCAGAGTAAGGTTGTACACAGAAACCTTCTGTTGGACGTGAGTTTCCTTCCTGTCCAGGATTCGTTGGGAAGTCAGTCCCTAGATTTTTTCTCCAGTGAGGGGGATCTCAGTGCTTGTGGGGATCTGGAGGACCCTGGCAGTCTAGAGACAGAGTCTACCGCAGCAAGGACTTCCTTGTGGGTCCTTTCGGATTTGAGCCATGGAGTGGATGTGGATTCTGTGGCAGGAGAGCATGCCTCACAGTCCACGGATCGTCAGCATGGTTCATGTGATGGTGCGGATGTGGACAATGCCCTACCTGACTCTCAGACTTGCACAACGCACACTTCAGCAAGCCCTTCTGGTCAGGCCCAGCACCTTGCTCTTCCTACTCCAGTTGACTGTTCCGCTACCTCTGATTTGACACAGTCTGGCACAGATTCTGTTCCAGGTGCCTGTCATGGGGACGCTGTTGTTCCGCAGACTGTTCCTGTTTCTGGCTCAGACATCAATCAGACCTCTGGTCAGCCGTATACTGGGCAGCCATCCAACTTGCCAAGACATGACTCTGACCATGCCAATGTTCGAAGCAGAGTGGTTACCAGAGCAGGTCGGGTGGTAAAGTCAGTCAACAGGCTGATAGAAAACATGGTCCAGAAGCCTATTACATGGGGCCTGTTACCGCCACGGGAGGTTCGGTCTCTGACATAGACTTTTTTTTTGGTCATCCCATTGCGTATTATGAATGTGTTGTACTTGCTTGAGGCATCATGACACCCACCCGGGGCGTCTTTATGGGACCACGTTTGATGAGGTGTAGGCTGCACCTTTGTGTTCTGAAAGGGTTGGAGGCCCGATCAACCTATCCAACTCCTTTTAATCCATTTATGGATAGTTTTTTAACTGAACTATGGGATAAGATCCTTGGGTTGCCTGTTCTGGAGGTGATGGTAGTTCAGCATCGTTGTGCCTCTTGGTACTGCAGTACCATTCAGATGTGTAGTGATTTTGGTGAAATTCAGGGGGGGTGAATGTAACATATGTGTTAAATACTTGTGAATTTCACCCAAAACACTTTCTTTTTTTTGGATTAAATATGTCATTTTTGCATCTCACTCTCCTACCTGTGTGATCTGAGTCTGTGTGCGTTCATGTGCATGTGTGCGCTGCGTGGTGACGTAGGCGCGTGCATGTGTGCCCCGGTCACAGCTCCTTTCAGCATGGCCGGAGGTAAGTCACTGCCACGTTGCTCTCAGCTAATTAAAGTTTGTTCGGATCCCAAGCTGCAGTGTGAATACAGCCGAACCGCCGCGTTTTTGTTTGTCATCAAGAGACTCATTCGGGATAAGTTTTGTGGAGGGCGGAGTTCACTAATATACACTTATAATGAGTTTTAGTCGAGAACGCAGCTAAAATGCTAGCATGCTAAGTTAGCCTGATCGCTAGCGGCTTGAGAGCGTACTCGCGGCAGTCTCCCTTTTTTTTAACAGCATGCACTCTTTTTTCCTTCGTCAGGAGAGGTGTACTGGCAGTCGCATGACACACACAGATCGAACGCATATTTCTGTGTTGCAGGTATGGAGATGTTCTTATGTTTTGGAGATGCAGTCTTTCATTTATTGTTCTTATAAGTTGTTTTGATGTTTTTTCAGTGACATATTATTTATTTTGTGCTTTTTGTTTTTGAGAGCTTAAGTTAATGTTTTAAAACAATTTGTTGTATTTGATTCATTACATTAATGTACATTAATGAAGCTGCAGGGACAGCTCCTTTCAGCATGGCCGGAGGAGAGGTGTACTGTCAGTCACGTGACACACACAGATCGAACACATATTTCTGTGTTGCAGATGTGCAGTAAAGAGCCAAAGACCCAGTACTGTCTCCTGCCTCTTACTTTCACGCCAGAACACAACGCAGAACAACAGGCGTAACACATGAACGGGTTACACTTGGTAATCTGAATAATGTAAAAAAGAAATTAAAGGCAAGCAGGAATCAAAGCTCCTATTTTTGGCAATTCAGGCAGACTGTTTGTATTTTGTTGACTCTGAATTTGAGACTCCAAATATTTATGAGGGGCGGGTTAGGAAATCTTTTAAAATTTGACTGACAAGCACAAACAGATGGCTGTGGCCAACGTGCCACACAATCAGCAGCAAGCTGCTAAATATTCATGAGCACCTGGCCAAAGTTAACTTTTAAACAGTCGGCGGTGAAGACCAACGCTATGCATTCACATCACGAACAGAGATGCTAACATCATATTCAAATGCTCAGTGAAATAGCAAAGGCTTAGTAGCTTTGTGCTCTTTATCTTGAGGGATCTGTGATTTTAACTCACCTGCAGCGACAGGTGTGAGCCGTTCACACTGTGATTGAGAATAAAATTTGCATGGCCCTGAGTTTCCCGTCTTTAATGCATGATGGATAAAGTGACGATGGATCGCGGTGGCTTTGTACTTCCTGAACTCTTTGAATAGCAAATCTGTGTGACAGCTGACCTTTTAATAACTTTACATGCACAAGAGGAACTAACCAGTAAGTTAGTGCAACAGTCAGTTTTCTTATGTTACCTTCCATTGGTCACTCCCCGAGGGCAGGAACAAAACAACTACTGGCAATCAGTGTGCAATAAAATAAGGTCATTGCATGCGTGACTGCGAAAAGCAAGGGATCACTTCTTGGATAAATCTAATTAAATAAATTTGCTTTCTTCCTTAAACCATACAATTGAAGTTTTGCTGTACATTATATCATGTGATTCCTGTAATGACCACCAGACACTTGTGCATTGCAATGTGCGTTAAGATAAATATCTAATCAGCCAATCGCATGGCAGCAACTGTGTGCATTTAGGTATGCGGAGCTCAAATCATCTCAAACTGGTTTCATGGACATGACAAGAGTTGTACTCAAACAACCTCCACAGTCACCAGATCAAAATCTAAAAGCACACTTTTGGGATGTGGTAGAAAGGGAAATTAGCATCATGGATGTGTAGCTGGAAAATCTGCAGCAACTGTGCACCTGACCAAAATGCTTCCTGCAGCTTTATGAATCTATGCCATGAAGATTCAATTCAGGTCCAAACACAAAGCGAGTCTAATCTGGTACTAGCAAGGAGTACCTAGTAAAGTGAATGTATATTTCTCATCATGTGAGTAGTTTTTCATGAACCATCTCTGTTTTTTCTTTTTTAGGTAAAAGCAAATGCAGCGGAATATTAACATATATATACAAAGTTTTTTGTATTAATCATGTTGTAATAGTAATTAATTGATGTTTGTATTAAAAATCTATAAACCACCTTTCATGGTAATACATTTTTAAGATTCTATATAATGTCAAACACAGAAGTGCTTTAGCCATGATATAGATATATTACAATATATATTAGCAATAATATAGATATGTAAGTATATTACAGAAATGGGTCTATTATGGTATGTTATAATGTACACGGTATGAAGTATGTTATGAATATTCCATAACTATAAGTATGTACAGGCTGTAGTGAGTACAAGCTATGTACAGGCTATGAACAGGATATAAATATGAAATAAAAAACTTATTGCACGGATCACCTGTTTGAGCTGAGTCTCAGAGTTGACGTGCACGTCGCAGATCTCACAGTGGAAAGTTTTATTCTGGAGTCCTGTCGATGACTCAGATGGTGCAGCCATCTTGCCTTTGACCCCCATCCTGGGGAAGGATTTGATGGCTCCATCGCCACTTCTGGCCTCGAGCATGGTCTTGTGCTTGGTGCCTGAGCAGATATAAAGTCAGATCAACAAAGTATAGAAACACGCTTCATGTGGGCAAAGTCTGGCCGTGGCAGCGACTGCCTCTCACCACTGTTGTGGGCCTGAAGCTGGGAGGCTGAGTTGACAGCCACCTTGCAGAGAGAGCAGTACAGAAGACGAATAGCTTTTGCTTCTTCGGTCTCCTCTCCTGGAGCTTCTGCCTCTCCATCTTTTGGTGCCTCTTTCTCTGTTGTCCTTGAAATGGGTGACAAGGAAGGGTCAGAAGGTGCTTTCACAGTTTCAGTGGAGCCACTGGTTGATGGTGCCATTTCTGAGGTAGGGTTCAGCGATGAAGGCTCTAAAACAAAGGAGGGGAAAGTAAGGTTATACTTTAATATTTGACTGTTTGGATATTCATCGTCTGGGTAGATATTCAGTTCTTAACTGTGATATTTGAATGTGCTTGCTTGAATGTGTATTTTTTTTCTGTAGACTGAAGAAATAAATGGATTTGTGGTGATTTAGTTAAGACACTGTAGCCATCTTAGCAACATAATTTCTAGATTTAGTACACATTTATCAACTTTTATGGCCAGTGAAGAATCTCAGTCTACGAGGTCTTGCTCTCCACGGCTCGCTCTCCCTCGCTCTGTGCTCTGTTCACAGAGCGGCACAGCGCAGCAGCACCTTAAAGCTTTTAAACTTACGCGTGTGGTGATTTTGTCAGACAGTGTTGGGGTATTAAATTCAGATGGGAAACTTTGAATTTTTTCTGTTGATTACTGCTGAAGCTTCAAAGCCCCCCCCCCCCCCCCCCCCCCCCCCCAAAAAAAAAATGCATTAGGGAAAATCCTGTTGGCAAGAATGAGCACTAAGGAAGACAAACGTGAAGATTTTTCCACTTCTATGAAATTCCTGAATTCTTTATGATAAGAGAAAGATAAAAGCTCAGCAGGCTACACATGATTATGAGCTCCATCAACCTCTCTAATCACACTAATAATCAATGATTTCTCCTGAGTTTCTGCCTCGCGGCACTTAAACGGACACTTTTGTATAGAGATGATTTGACTCTGTTATCTTTTGTGGTGCCCACTTTCCCACAGAGGAGCGTGTGCAGATTTAAGGATTCACTCTCTGTTAATAACAATGATTATTAGCTCTGCCTCACTGAGTGGGTGTCTGTTTGTTACCACTGATTCCCCACTCTCTCACTAAAGTAATCTTCAGAGAGCGCTCCTGCTTCTCATCCACTTCCTCGAAACTCTTGAAATTATCATTCACCCTCTCACTTTCTCGAAAACAAACTCTCCTGTCGGCGTTGTCAAGAATATTTCTTCTTTAGCTGTGGCAAAATGCATTATTTTCAATCCTTAAACGCCCACGCATGTGCAAAAGTAGCACATCAGCACTGGCACAAATATAAACAAACGCTGGAAAGCAGTCTGTGCTTTGACACGCCGCCACACTTGCATGCCTGCAGACGCACATGTGCCCAAGGCCCTTGAGCAAACGTACACTCATACATAGTGGAGGAGAGCTACCCACAGATCATATTCAACGCATTTTCAATGCTCTTTTGATCTCAGGAGACCACTGAATGAGGTCAGAAAATGTAGACACGAAGAAGAAGCAGAGGATAATGCCCAACCTTTAATCACTTCACCGTGCAACCCAAAGCAGCAGGTGGTTTATCACATCAAAGAGTTAAGGTCGTGACTAGAAAAAGAAGGTCTGAGCCGTGCATTCATATGGCTAACGGTGTCATGCGCGTGATGTCTGTGCACGTGTGCATGCATGGTTGCAGAAATGCACTCACCTCCTGATGTTGTGTCAGAGCTGGAGGGCCGTGAGCACGATGACAACAGGACTGCAGTTTCCTTGGAGACCGGTTCACAGGTCCTGATCTTTGAATCTGGGGCGTCCAGAGCTAACAGCTTTTTCGCATGCTTTGTGCCGGTATAATGGGAGGACGCCTGAGCCTTGATGCCCAACAGCAAAAGAAAAAAAAAAAGATTTTGCTTCATGCAGTAAAGTGGCTATCTTTACTTTACACAACAATGCATGACTTGAATATGAATGGAAAAACTGCAGAAAGCTATCATTCTCTGACTTGCTTACTTTTGCCAGTGTAGTAAGTAATCAAGTGGTAAGTCGTTAAAGTAAATAAGTGCAGCACTATGTGCACTTTTTCCACATTTTTACAAAGATTTCCGTACAATACGTGACAGTACTTTGCAGTTGTTGAGTTGCTTTCTTATGAGTCATGCTATGGCACAAATAATACAAAATGATACAGAATTTTCTACCAAGATCAAATATCAGGGGAGTTCACATTTGACCCAGTAATTAAGTAAGAAAGCTTTAAACCTTCAAAACCAGTAAGACAGCCATGTGTAAGGGCAGGTCTTCTCTGTGGTTCAACTGTCATGTAAGGGTGTGTGTGAGAAAAACAAGCGCACCTTGAAAGACAAAAAACTACTGACAAAGCATGTGTTTCCCACACAGCATCGCCCACCTCAGAGTTGAATCTAAGACGACAGACGCCGCAGGAACTGGGCTTTCTTATTAAGTGTGACGTTAGCCCGAAGCCTGGGCCAATCAGAGCTTTATGTATATGATCCATCTGCAACAAGGAAAAGTGAAAAGTTATGTCTGAACTGGTTTTGGATTATGCTCTAACAGACTTGACTGAGTTAGGTAGTAAAAAGTGATCTCCTCTTTAAATGTCATGCTATCAGCAGGTAATTTAATCTTTTAGGACCTACTAAGGGTGTTGGTGCCCATAAACATAACAATATTGATGTTCACACATCTATCAGTGAAATCAACAACACAGCAAACCACGTGCTCTCTGCTGCCTCAGCTTGCCCGAGACAAATACCAACATATCATCTTGACTGACATGATGTAACGTGACTTAGAAAAGCTTTCACAGTGCCGTCTGTTTGGTCATTTCAGCTGGGATTAATTACACTGACACTGAACTGTTTTCATGGGATAGAACAGGATTCAAAATGTTTATATGAAACCTGTCACACCACTCTGCAGCATAACGCACTTGTCTGCTGCCCACAGGTTTTCTCCACATGTTCCAAATGGTCACGTGTGGTAAAGCTTTTTGCCCTTGTGGCCATAAGCACTCTGAAGAGCAAAGCCAATCCTGAAAAATTCAGTGCACTGTGTTTAACGTATTTTATTCACACCACAATATAGAAAACACATCAAATGTTAAACTGAGACATTTGGTATTTCATGAAAAATATAGCAACAGATCTCAAAACAGTTGGCACAGGAGCAAGAAAAGGCTGGAAAAGTAGGTGGTGCTAAAATGAAACAGCTGGAGGAACTTTTTGCTAGTAATTGGGTTAACTGGCAATAAGGCAGTAACATGAGATATCTTAGTGATGCAAAGTTTCTAATCTCTAAAACTGGGCTGCGGTGCACCAACCTGCTGAAAGATGTGTCTACAAATTGAGGAGTAATTTCAGAACAGTGTTACTCAACGTAAAATTGTGAAGGGATTGAATACCACATTATCTACATTGCACAATATCATCAAAAGATTCAGAGAATCTGAAGAAATCTCTGTACAATTTCTGAAGTGGAGGGAGGATGGATGGATGGATGGATGGATGGATGGATGGATGGATGGATGGACAAAAAACCCCACAGAGGACTGTTGAACAGCAGCTACTCTCCTCAGTTCCCAGACATTTACAGACTGTTAAAATAAAAAGGGATGCTGCACAGTGGTAAAATGGCCCTGCCCTTCTTTCTGCACATCACTGTTGCAGTCCACTCAGACCACCTTGAAGCCATGTGCCACAGCCTTTGCTATCCATAACAGAGAAAACACAAAACCTTTTACAGGCACCTTTAAAACCTGCAGGGGTGAGAGTTTTACTCACACAGCCCTGTTCCAGGAAGACTTCATAACACCAAACGTGCAAATGGTCTTTCCAACTGAACAGCGAGAAACCATTACCATATTAAGAAAACTAAGTTAAATAGCTTTAAATTGCGTGCAGCATAATCATGTTTGTGTAGCCTCGTACTGCAGATCAGCTAATGAAGTTTCAGACTTTTTCACCCCCCCAGACTACTTTTATTTATGCGTGTAAGAGAGAGGCAGTAAACCTGTCCATGCCTTTGCATATATGCGTGAACACAATACCATTATCTGACCACACAACACTGCTGGACATTGCTGGAAACTGTAATGAGCAAAACTACTCAGTGTAATAAAACCCAACTGGCCTTTGTGGAGCAAAACAAGACTATTACCTGAGATGAAATGTAGGAGGCCATATAAGCAGCCAAAGTGGGCGGGGAGTGGGGAGTGTGGAGTGGGGGTTTTATGGAAATCTGGTTAGTGGTAAAAGTAAAAATTTATGCATTCTTATGGGTCAGCCAGCTAGTCCTCTAACCCCAGAGAACCCTCAGTATAGCACTGCAGTGGAGATGTACCTTGTTTCTTTAGAGCCAAACCTGAACACGTTCTTCAAAAGTGAAAAACTCAACATTGGGTGTGCGTGTCTGTGTGTGTGTGTTCTCACTACTTTTCTTTGATCATCACTCTGGGCTGCTACACTGGAATGTATCTGTGCAGTCGCAAGTCTCTTATCTCCCTGTTTCCCTGCAGCTGTTTGTCTATAGAAAACTCCAGCAACCTTACATAAAAACAAACATATATCACGTGTATCATGTGTAAAATGCAAAAAGTCGTAGAAATTTAAGAAACAAAGCAAAGGACTAAATCTGTCATGTAACGTGTGACAAACATCTTTATGTGAGAGTATTTTTGACATCTTTTTTATGTTTCTGTGAATGAGATCGAACAGTTTAACATCAGCTAACAGCCCGCTCGCTCCCTCCTTGCTCCACAGCCCCAAGGTTCCTGTATCTCCTCCTGACCTTCCATCACACGTTCCTCACTTCACCCCTCCATCTGCTTACCTCTGAACCCTCACCCTTCGCCTGCGTCTGATCGAAGTCACCTTCCCGGCTCCCCGTGGAGTCACCCTCTTACCCTCCACTCCCACTCGGCACTACGATGGACTAGCACCTGCAGCAAAGTCAGTTTGCCCTTCTTACTCATTGCCTCTTCAGTTTTGTTTTGCACAAACACTCGCACAAATACATATATCACATGCAGAAACAAATCTGCCACTGTGAGCTCATGAAGAGAAAGGAAAGCAGTACATTCAGTGGATTGTACACTAAATAAAGGCATCACATCCACCACACAGCATCAATTATATCCAGCATATTCCCTCCAGAAACCTCCTCGCACACAGGGTGTCAGCATGTCAGACATGCTCTGCTCCAGGGAGTCAGTTATGGCTGAAACATATGGCCAAGTGAAGTAAAGCAGACTTCTAACTTTATAATGATGAATGCTCCTGGATTTACACTGTGTACCAGCATGACAGGTATGTGTGAATGTCTGACGTCAAACACCTAAAGGGAGTGAGTTCTGACGAATGAGCTGCTGCTTTTGGGCTCTTTGTCATTTCAATTATTTTATTCTTGGAAACAATATCTGGGTTTTTTTGTTTCCAAAACGAAAGAAATAAAAAGAATGCGAGCCAACCAAGCTTCTGAAGTCCAAGTTTTAAAAGCAGAGGTCCCTGAATCACGACAAGCATCCGCACACATGCCTGCAACCCTGTAGTCATGACAACGCACATGGGCACCAAACAAACTCCTGTGCAGAGTTTAATGGAGGCCAAAGCACACAAGTGAATGCACTGCTTACACACAAATACACACACACGAAGAACCCACACATAAAGAGACACATTTCAGAAGAAAACACAGGCCGTCAGAGTTCAGCTGCGTGCCCACTTACTTCACACCCACAGGTTCGATTCAGAGGAGCAAGACAATTCTCTGACAAAATACGTTCTAGACGATATTTTATTTTCGTTCAGCTCATTCCAAACACTCAAAAGCAACTGAAGGATATGGGGACCTCAGAGGTTTAATTTATTTAATAAAGACAGCAAAACCGAAAGAGTTCAGCGATTCACAAATGAGATTATGTCTGCATAACCCAAAGGGAGTACAGCAGGATTAGTTCAACTAAAATGACAAAAGAGAAATTAAAATGCTCTGAATTTTTTTTTTAAAGTACATCTGAACAGATTTGAGAAGAAAAACTAAAATTAACACATAAGTATTAGAAAAAGATATCCAAACTTCATTTATAAATTATGTTAGTTTGTTTCTGCCACTGAAGAAAATTTTAGTTTGTTGTCCAAAGTCAAAATTTAAGGTTTGTACCTTCGAATTTCAACTTAACATCTCGATTTTTGTTACATTTTGAGATAGTGAGCAAGTTGAAATTTTGAGATATTCAGAAATTTAAAATTATCTCTGTATGTCAATTATTTTTTTCCCAGTGGCAGAAACAAGCTTCCATAACAAATGATAATAGATTGTAGAGGTAGCTAAAATTAAAGCTAAAATTTTCCAATCCAAAATTCCAATCCAAGCCGTGTAACGTATACGCACAATTCAGCCTCGAAAAACAGTGAAAAAAATGAAGTGACCATCAAGCAATGATGAATTGGTCATGATGTTTCTAAACAAGGAAAGTAAGAAACTAAGATTCTGGGTTCATCTAATTCTCACAAAAAGACAGCAGCAGGGAGAATTTTATGGTTTGATCCAGGAGTTGAAGCTTTACCACGACTGCTTTCGTACATATTTCAGGATCTCAGTGGGGCCATTTGAGCTCTTGTTGGCAGAGTTGGGGCAGAGTTTGAGGAAGGAGAGAAATAATTTCAGAGAATGATTGACCTGGAGCAGCATCTAGCAGTGTGTCTGTGGTATAATAGAATATTTTAATATTTCCATCTCAAATACATTCAGTACTGGTATTAATTTGAGTTATGAGCGCACATATTGCCAAATGCAGTGATTGGTCAGATTTGGAAAAATAAATGCTACAAAACATCCAGTGAAATTACATGGTCGGTGTGAATGGTTACATTAAGAATAGATGAGTCTGAAAAATATTTCTAACGAACAAAACATTTGTTTAAAGGACCTCACTCTGGAAACTGTTAGCGCACAATATGGATGAACTATTGAAGCTACTAGCTACTAACTACAGTCCCTCAACTTCTACTCTCTTTTAATGTTTCTAGTAACTTAACAGTATAGATTAAAAAATGCATAACATAATAAACTGTTAGTGGAATAAACAAAATGAAAAGTTAAACAGTTGAGGAGCTAGCTAACATTATGAATCAAAAGTTATCAATTATAAGCTAAAAAAATAGCTAAACAGTTGAAATTATAAGCGAAACAAGGACGAAGAAACAAGCAAGAGTTTTGTCAAAACATCACTAAGCACTATTAATATCTGTTAAATAGATTAGCGATTAAAAACATTGGCTGCCAGTTATGACTGAACTGTTGACATAATGGCAAGCTAATTAGCTAATGTAAATGCTAAAATGTAATGAGAAGCTAATATTTTAACCACATATCAAATTCTCTTATCATCAGTGAGGGCATTCACTGCTTTCCTCGTCATTTCTGACAGTAAAATTACTATATGTGGGTTTTTGACACTGTCACTATTTTCTTTAACTTTACAGAGATAATGATTAGCAATTAACTGAGATAATAGCCTGTAGCTAATTGCAGATTTCAAGTTTACAGAGGTGGCAAAGAGGGCTTTTAGTGTGGAGATATGCTGGATTTTAAGTTTTTAGCCAATACTCTTTCTCTAACCTTGTTTTCCAAAAAAGGAGTTAAATCTCCAACATTACTCATTCAGCATTAAGAGTAGTGAACAATGTAGCGCTCAGTCACTTTTTACAGGTGTTACACTATTTCTGTGGCTGCCAACTGGGAGATGTGTTGAACATGGGGTAAAATCAAAGAAATGACAGAAAGAGACAAACAGGGAAAAGACAGCAGGGAGAGTATGAGTGAGATATTTAAAAACATTTTTCTGTCCGTGCTATATTAAGGTCACCCAGCAATAGCAACAAATATTGTAATATTAAGTTTCTTATTATGTGCCTTACATTTAGTAGTGAACAGAGGAGTTCAAAGGAAGGTGAAGTGGATCTGAAAGCTGCAAAAGGGAGAAAAAGCGCACAAGAGGATGAGCGAGAGGAAAGATGACAGCAGGGGACAAAGTGGAAAATACATATGAAGAGAGAGCTGAAGTGAAGAGGGCGTTGGAGCACAAGCAACACAGAAAGTGGAAGGGGTGGATGAAAGCGAGGTGAAATGGGAGGCAAGAGGGCCGAGACCTAGAGCAGTGTCTCCCTGGGTGGCAGATGGGCTTTTTGACAAAGAGACGGACGCTACACACAATCCCTCACACATGCAAAATAACTGCTACACTGTGAGAGGCCACAAAAGGCAGACAAATACACTCTTTTTGAACCCTCACGTGTCTCTTCTGAGACATCTTCCAAACATCTGACAGCATATCATGGGAAAGAAGAGTAAAGACGAGGGAGGAACAAAAGCACAATTGTCAGCTCTGCTTCCGAGCAGTTATTTGGTCAGACTCAATGGAGTTATGAGCATACTCTTATAGACACAGCCAAGGCATTTAACACCTTGGATTATACGAAGAGATATCACACGATTTCCGTGTAAACCATACATCAACCCTCAGCCTGACACATCTACAGTCCTCTGGGCTTAGACTTGGCCTGCCTTGGTTCTCTCCACCTTCACCTTTCACAAACACCGGGGCAGACAGCTCTAAGAAAAGCTCTGCAGGAGGAATACCAAGGATTCAGCTCCACACCCCCCAGGTTGTGTGGAAATGTCACAGCTCTCTGCATTAGGGATGATATATTTGGAAAGGTGTAGGCAGCGTGCTCATACATCTGTGCATTGAAATTTTACTTCATGCAGGCAGACTATTCCACGAAATTAACTCCTCCGCTTGAGGCAAAACATTGGTATGGTAAAATGAACAATTTTGCTTTTGATAATAATAATAATAATAATAATAAAAGGCATGAGAGTGCAGGTGGTGAGAGCTTTGTTGCCATGACAGCTACGATGACTGACAGTACTCACGTCAGTGAATCCAGGCAGCAGGTGGAGGGGGAGGAGGGCTTTCGGGTCAGGAGAGGGCTGGGTCCTGCCCAGCGTGGGACGAGCCAGCGGCGGCAGAGTGCTGTGGCACACATTACCTGAGAGACATCACAGGAGGAAGGAGACAGGCAGATAGATAAACATATGGAGCAATGACTCGATGGCGATGAGGTGGTACCTTTGAGATGATGATGATGATGATGATAAAAGCTAATAGACCAGAGCAAACCATTCTGTGCTCAAAAACTTCTCTGGTTGCAGTGTTTTGATACATTTTTTATGCTTTCTTACATCTTTGTCTTGTCTTATTTGAATTTAAACCTTATTACATAAAATGCTTTTCATCATTTGTGTTAATGTTTTCAATTCAAATAAGATGTTGAGCCAATTTGAGTGCATTTGGGATCAGTCCAGCTATATTGTAGCCCAAAACATGAAATTTGCTTTCATGGGCTTTCTAACTGGAAAAAATATACCAATATTTGATCCTAGTGGTCTTCTCTCACTCACAGATCCTGGAAATTACTTAAATAGGCACAGCTTCTGTCTGAACAGCTATAAATCATCTTATGTTGCTTTGAAACACCCACTTTGCTGTAAACTGTAATCAAGTACAACTTCCTAAGTTCTTAGAGTGGCTCAGTGGTCAGTATCTCCATTCTAGCAACAGCAGATGGCCACCCGTCCCTGAACCTGGTTCTGCCGGAAGTTTCTTCCTGTTAAAAGGGAGTTTTTCCTTCCCACTGTTACCAAGTGCTTGCTCACAGAGGGTGGTCTGATTGCTGGAGTTTTCTCTGTATTATGGTTGGGTCCTGACAATGAAATGTGCTTTGAGGCAACTGTTGTTGTGATTTAGTGCTAGATTGAATTGAAATGGATGTCAAAGTGTCCTTGTGTAAGATACTGAACCCTTGTACATGTTTTGTTTTTGTCATCCATAAGTGAAAAATTTAGCTCATTTAGCTCAAATTTTCAAGAACTAACCATCTGAAGAAAAGAACTCAAAACTGAGAAACTAACTTTATCTAACTTATTCAAAATTTTGAGATACTTGCCTTAAATTTGGGTAGCAAAAAGAAATTTAAAAAGAGAGAGAGAGAGAAAACTGCAGAATTTGAGTAAAACTGTACTTTTCATACTTTTCTTCTTTGACTAAATAAAGGCTATGCAGGATTCTTCTACCTCTTGCTGGGGGGATGCATTGTATGCTGTAATTATGCTGGGTACAAATGCGGCCTATTATTTTCTTGACAACCTTCCCAGTTTCATTTTTCTTTGTCATTGTTTTTTTTTTTTGGTTTTTTTTGTTTTTTTTTTGCTTTTAAAATTATTTACTCAAATAAATCATTTTAGAGGGCTTTTTTTACACATACGAGCAAGCAATCAGCCCTTTCAAAACACTTTTTGGTGACGGGGGGGGTCTAATCAAAAACAAACTCAAATATATGCCAAGCACGTACATAAGTGCACATGCAACCTGAAAAACAGTGCACGAGTATGTTGAGGCCATGGCTGATAAGGGTCTTGTTTGTTGTGCTGAGTGATTATAGAGCCTTATTTTCTATAGTTTGCATGTTCTCTCAGCTTGATTACAGTTTGATTTAGGACCGTGTGTAATCATCGCAATCACAATCATAACACACCCATCCGCTCTGCCATTACTCTGATTAACTGACTAAAGTCTTGTAGGGTGCACGTGTGAGTGCGCGCACGCAACGTTGCGCGATTGATCTGATTTGCTTTTGGGATGGATTACTTTAAAGAAGTTATTATGCCTTTGAGAAACACGTGACAGACTGCAGTCTGTTAAGAGCAGCGGAGTGACAATCAATAACTTGCAGGCAACGATCAAAAGCAATCAAACAGCCCAATCGTGAAACCCGTTTAAAATGCAAGTTATGAAATCTAAGAAACGCAGTAAAGTAGCTTCTGTCTTCTCTCAGCATGCTGTTACTATATTTTTGCATCTCTTTTATGCATAGACTAATATTTTCGATACTTATTTTTGCGTAAACGGACTTTAAAGTCAAAAACACCGTGATATAACCTGTGCGCTGAGTCCCTCTGTCTATACCGCTGTGCAGGTGACTGACTTCACGAAGCTCACGTCCAATCCAACATAGCAACAGGTGACTCCGCTTATTACCAGCCTATTAAAAAACTAATGTAAAACAACAACAATAATAATAAAAAGCTTCGTTTACATACCAAAATACATTGCGGCACCAAGTGAGATCCGATTGTTCAGTGTGTGATAAAAGTGTCTTTCATCTCCGAGCAGAGATGAGGCTTCGTGTCTTCTGCTCCAGTCTCTCTCCCTCTCTCTCCTTCTTTCCTGCGGCGCCGATGCTGCTCCTTCCCATCTGGATTCCCTCCTCCTCCTCCTCCTCCTCAACTACTCACCCCTCCTCCTCATCTTTACACAATCCGTGTAGAAATCTGTCCGTGTATCTACATCTCCCAGAAGTCTGGTTTTAATTTGGCAAATACCCGGAAATTACCTTAATTGGTACACATTACCACCCAGGATTTGTGTAACCCCCACACACACCACTGCACCCTCAGTGCCAGCATCCACAAACCAACAGGCACATTTTTAACTCGTTGGAACAACAGAAATTATTTAGGTTTAATTTGAACTTCTAGTTGACACATCCACAATAAAAGTGCATGGGAAAGGTGCGCACGGGAAAGGAAAGGAGAGACCTGTGTTCCACTTATTGCTTTGGTAAGTGCTTTCCCATCCTCCTTTTCCTCTCGGGCCTATGGTATTTTTAGATGCATCCTTTCGCTCCATGGAGAGGAAACTGCACACGGACACATACAGTAGGTGAAAACATCACAGTCTGCCACACATACGTGCAAGCACACTTTAATGTGAGCTTGCAAATTCTATAATCATTCATCCTTAAAAAGAACATGGATCGCTCCTGTCTGTCTTTCTGACTTGCATGCACCCGCAAATGCTTGGAGAGCTCAGATGTACTGTATCTTTTGGCAGACTGACTTTCTTGTCCTCGAGCCCAAACATGTTTTCTCCCTGTGCCAATAAAGTGGACAACAACATGTGTTTTCCCACAATCCAAAAACTCTAGGGAGACTTATCTCAGGAAGGCTGTCAGTTCAACAAGTGCTGTCCTGAAACTACACACACACACACACACACACACACACAGAGAGAGAGAGAGAGAGAGAGAGAGAGAGAGAGAGACTTTGTGTGCTCACAGGCTATTTTAATTGGTAATAAACAGACAGGCACACACAAATGTGTGATTAACAAGTGAAGCAAAAAGAAGCCACACAAACCAGGCATTAAGTGAACATAAATAATACAAAAGCGTGGCACGCAACAGGCCTCACTCGGAGTCATTCAGTAGTGTTTATTCAGTGGAACAAAATAGTGTGTGATGTGCTTGTTCGCAAATAAATGCGGTGTCTTTACACTCGGGGCGTATCTCCAGCCTGAGCCATTTCATGTGGACTGCGCCTCCATTCATGAGCCACATGGAACAAAAGCTGAGGAGGAGGAAAATACAGACATGGAAACATCTACTCATAAACTCAATTTCACGCCCCTTTTGTCACTCGCCGCGCTGCCAGGCGTTTTGTGCTCCCCTGAGAAAGAGCCGAGGGCTTTTAGGGGGCTATGTGCGCTAGCTGTTATTGCCTGTCCCATTCTTTTGCTGGAGATGGCTGAAAAGTTTTGCTTCATCTCAGTGTCACACATTTGGAAGCCCGTGGTTTCACATTCTAGTTTTAGCCACGTGGCTTCTTCTCCTCCAGTGTAGGAGTGGTGCCAGGGTGAGAAATCACCTCTGAAATATTGGCGCCAAACTTTTGTCAGGCCACCTTGAAGAAAATGGATCAGTGGAGCTGTGGTCAGAGCAGCAAAACTACACAAAAGTCAGGTGTTATGACTGAGGATAGAAGACTTTATTGTGCTAATGTGCCAGAACAGCCTTGCCTGCTTCCCACTCTCCAGATGTCATCACTTAAAGCAAAAATTCAAACTTGAGAGCAGGCAGAAAGCTCACCTGTGACAGCAGAGCTAATCTGTTAATGGCACTCCTACTTTACTTTGTTTCTGGACTCAGCTCGAAGCAGCCCACAAATAGCAGATCGATAAATAATTAATAATAGAAATAATAGCTTTACACCTGCAGCTGTTTAGCATCACTGACTCACAGACAAACACTGAGGCTGTCATGGCAACTGAGGTATGTAATATTATGTTAAGTGGACCGATGCTGAGGCTTTCAGCCTCGTTTGTGGCTGTCAACCTGTTTAATTGCATGCTGGAAAGGAATCTTGTGACCCCAGCTGGGCCTTGAGCACAGACAGCCAAGCACAACGGGCTCCGTTATGAAATTAGAGGCTTTTAAAGGAGTTAATTGACTCGAGTATATGGGGAGGCGATACAGCCAAGCACGAGGGGGCAGACAAATGTGCAAACACTAATCTAGAGAACTGAATTATAGGACGTTTTAATTCCACGATAAGCCGAGCCGAGACTAAAACACCTCCGGTCTTCAACAGAGATCGATGAAAGCACTCTTTAACAGTTTGCTTGCGATGAACTCGAGGCAGTAACCCACCTCTCTGCCCATTTTCAGCTTTCTTTTCCTCCACTGCGCCTTTTTATTTTATATTTTTTTGAGAGCACACACAGGCACCCATCAGCTCACCTCTCTTTTTGATTGGTCGCCATAACAACATCACCATGGCAATCAGCGGCATTGACTTGGATTCTATTTATGCGATGATGTCAGCTGATGTGGAAATATCAGTGTGTGCTCTTTGCTGACAGATGCGGGATGATGCAGGAATGTAGGCCGTCACACACACTCACGCCCAGACGTTGTTTTCACGTCGTGCACATTTGTAGCTGTGAACCCACACAGTAAGGCGCGAAAAAAAATCTGCAACAGGTGCAAGTTATGTATTTAATGCGTTTTTAAGCATGCCCACATGATGCTGCTATTCAGTGAAAAGCATGTAAGTGGGTGACATGCATTCAAACCACTTTATCTCTTCTTTTGCTCATTCAGGTTCAGTCTTGCTGAATGGCACTTGTACATGTGGAGGCACTAAAGGGCTAAACCTCTGATTAGTGCATGACCTTGTCTGCCACCTGCACAACAGCAAACTAGCATGCATTTCTGTATTTGAATCTCCCCCCCAAAGATAACTAAAAGTCTTCCTTAATGAGTCTAAACATCCTGCTGAATAAACATTAAAAAAAAAAACTGCTGTCACTCTACTGCAAGCATTGCTGCTTTTCTTGATTCAAAAGCTGACAATTTATTTTTCAAGTCATGTGCATGCGTGTGTGTGTTTGGAGTACTTTAGATGTGAGGAAGTGAAAAAAATCCATTTTTAAAAATGGCTACAGAGGACAGCTGGGGGTTTTTGTTCTGTTTTGTTTTCTCTTTAGATGAAATGTAAATATGAGTGGGATTGTGTTATGATTGTAGGACTTATATCACTGCTGATCATGCGTATAAACAAACAAAATACAGGAAGCGGATATAAACAAGTGAAAATGAGCTCTGGACAGGCAGAAACCAAGTGAGAGACACAATTTGCGAAAGCGGGATTTGGAGAGCAGAAGAGAAACTGCAAGGCAACAGAAATGAGAGTTAAAGGTCATAAGAAAAACATAGTTTACAACCCAAACCGTACAGATTTGATGCTCCGACTTAAAACTCCAAGATTTCCCTGCGAAACAAAGTGCTGCAGGGATGGAGAGGGGGGCATCGTAAGCCGGAGATAAACAGATCCATGTTGGGGTCAGAGGTGCCATTGCACTTATCACTTTAGCATATATACGAGTCCTGGTTTAAGACACACTTTTTACAACTTACACATGTCTAGTAGCATGCGAGTAATAGCCACCACATGTTTGTGCTAAATCCATTTCTTTCCAACCATGATGAGAGCCTTACTTTCAAGGTTGGGTCAGAAACACACTGACACACTAGGAAAAAATTGGAACAATCAGCAGAAGGAAATGCTGCTTCACTGTTCAGCCCTCTTCATTCAGAAAAAATAAAGGAACCTGTATTTTTTTATTTTATTTATTTTTTAAAAGAGATTTAGTAAGTATAAACCTTCCTTATAGGCATGGGATGAAGCAAAATTTACAGGTTTGGTGACCAGGCTTTCAACCTGTGCAGCTTGCTCAGCCTGTGTGGATTATTACACCAGATGTCTTTCCTCAGCCTATAAAATATCCCCATTCACAAGGTATAATTAAACATTTACTGCCTGGTGCAGAGCCTTCCTATCATATTTTCACGAGAGAAGCTTAATAAAAGCATTTGTGGTCATTTCACTGTAGCAAAATCATCTCCGGCAGAGAAGTCTTGCTTGGGGACACAGCATGCACGCAGCACACACGCACGCTCATACCACAGCAAAGGCTCCTCATGCACATCTGTGAACCAGAGATAGAGCACTATCTGTCCAGAATGTCATTAACTACCACCGCTGTAGATTTATATTCACTCAGTTGTGCCATATGAGCTTGTACAATTACATCCATAGTCTGGAGATCTTCTGCGAGTGGACACGTTGACATAAAATTACCAAGTCTGGGGAAAATGTAAATTAATACCCCACATCATAGGCAGCAAAGGTTGCTAACTTAATATAATGAACGTAAATGAGACAGGAGTATGAGACATGTAGGCGTTACTAAATGAATGAGAGGGGGAACAAATGTATTTCACTATAGTACCCTCGGGCTGTGGTTTCAACTTGTAACATCGGCAGTGCCATCTACAGGTTGAGAGGAGACATAGCACCTTCAAAGACCATCTCAGGACTATCATTGGGCAAGATCTGAAAACCAATCGTGCTGGTGTGACACCATCTCTCTGCCACTTGGGGAAAAACTACTACTTGACCTATACCTCAAACCTGGAGTTTTGTATATTATATTAATCTCGCCAAGCACTCCAGGTTCCTCCTGCAGTCCAAAGACATCCATGAGTTTAGGTTAACCGGGGGTCCTAAATTAACCATAGAACGTGAGAGTGAATTATTTTATCTATATCTCTGCATTACCCTGGGACAGGCTGACAGATTGTCCAAGGTGTACCCTGCCTCTTGCTTCGTGACAACTAATATAATCTAGAGCACCCTGAAATGATTAGAAAATCAATGGACATAATTCATACTGGTCTATTTCTGAAAATGCTGATCTACTGGATTTTCCTACACAACCATTTCTAGGATTCACAGAAAATGGAATTACAGCGAGAAAATATCCAGTGAGCAGCAGGTCTCTGGGTGCAAATGTCTTGTTGATGGCAGAGAAGAATGGCCAGACTGCTTCAAGCTGATAGGATGTAATAGTAACTCAAATAACCACTCATTACAACCAAGCAGAAATGCATAAAACATTGAAGCAGATGGGCTACAGCAGCAGAAGACCACACTTGGTGCCACTTCTGTCAACTAAGAACAGGAAACTGAGCCTAAAACTCACACAGACAAAAATTAGACAACAGAAAATTGAAAAACCTTGCCTGATCTGACAAGTCTTGATTTCTGCTGCGTCAGTCAGATGGTAGGATCAAAATTTGCATGGCTCCATCCTGCAATGTTGTGGTGCAAGGTTATTAAAGTTAATTTAAAATAGGCTAAAAACTGAAACATTTTGTGACCTGGGAAAACTAACTAACTAAAATAACACATATATAGAGAAAGGAAATGTTCTTACCTTTGGTACCTGTTAATTAAGCAAAAATGTATTATTAACCTGCCTGATGACACATGATAAATGTGTTTATTGAGACTTGTGAGATGTTTACAAGACTGTTAGTCATCTGCTTTCAAAGCATTGTGTTGTTATTGGAATACCAATATCTTGCCTCAGACAATAATAACCATAAAAGACTAAAACTAACACTGAAACTAATGAAAACTAAACTAAAACTAAATCTTTTCCAACAATAAAATCTAAACTGAAACAAGAAAGTACACTCTGTAACCTAGCTGAAACTAAAATAAACAACAAAAAATTAAATAAAACTACTTAGAAAACACAAAACTTTAATAACTCTGGTGTGGGGGATATTCTCTTGGCACACTTTGAGACCCTTATCACCAACTGAGCATTGTTTAAACACCACAGCCTGCAGGAGTACTGTTCCTGACCATGCCCACCCCTTCATGACCACAGCTTACCCATCGTCTGACGCCTTCCTCCAGCAGGATAATGCACCATGTCACAAAACTCTAATCATCTCACACCAGTTTATTGAACAAATCAACAGTGACTTTTGGTTTCAAGTAGAACAACCTGCTCCTTACATTGATTTTGATGCTCTTTTTATTACCTTACTTCTACTTCAGTGTTTGTCAGAAAGCAGTGAAGACAAACTTACCCCACTTCAGTCCCACCCCCCAAAAGTCATATATCTGACAACACATGTGATTGGTCCTAAAATAGCATTAACTATGATGATGTAGGAATACCATCGGTCTCACTGATCCCTCATTTAACTCCACCAATACAATTTTTTAAAGATTAACTTATCTAACAGCATATGAATTGATTCAAACTGGACCAGTCTTATTCAGCTAGTGTGTTAACACTATAACTTTATTTATTTCACCTCCTTTTATCTCCTATTTCCACATAGCTCGAGTCTCATGGAGATGTTTCATGACTTTTTGTTGCAAGTACAAGCAAATAGAAGAAGCATAAATAACTTATTCCAAGACGTTCCCTCTGGATTCCTTTATAAAAGCAATACAAAATTACAAAGTATTTCTAGAAACATAAAGGAAAAAATGTCATCTAATGCAGAAATTGCCCGTCAGCCATCAAAAGAAATATGTATAAAACATGAAAGTGAATTACCATTTGCAACACTTATTCAGTAAATTAGATACTGTACAGATGGTATACTGAAAGACGCCTGAACACTGAGAGCTCAGTGTCAAGCAGAAGCCTCGCTTGAATGACAGTCAAGCATGGTGATGCTTCAGTATGTACACAGCAGATCTTTCTGGGGAGGTGCCGCAGTCTGTTATTAGCTCCTGCAGCAGCCTTTGCGCTCCTCCTGTGCCTCGCTGCTTGGCCCAAGGGGGCTGGAGAGGGTCACAGCACTGATGGAGCCACGGGTCACCTCTCTGCTGGCCACCTTCTTATGGATCGCTGGAGAAAACGGAGACGAAGAAGATTGGCAATCAACACAGACACAAGTCCAAGTGAGGGTGTGAATGCTCTTTCTGGGCACCTTTACCTGTGAGAACTTCACTGAAAGCTGCTTCAACATTGGTGGAGCCCAACGCTGATGTCTCCATGAACATCAGACCTTTCTTTTCTGAATCGCACCGGGGTTTGAAAAACAAAAAAACATTAATACAGAGCAAAATGTATTTAGCAGTGAAAACACCATTTATGAGAATTTTTGCAAAACATAGAAATAAAATCAGTCTCATATATTAGAAATATTCCAAAACAACATTAAAGAAATAACTATACAACACTACTTAACTTACCTGCAAAGTCTCTGGCCTCATCTGTGGGTACAGTCCTGAGAGTGTCCAGATCGCTTTTGTTTCCCACCAGCATGACCACAATATGAGGGTCTGCGTGGTCGTACAGCTCCTTCAGCCATCTCTCTGCGCTCTCATAGGTCAAGTGCTTGCTAATGTCATAGACCAGCAGCGCTCCAACTGCTCCCCTGTAATACCTGAGGAGGAACACACATGGGCTGGGTGTTACATTCAAACAGGAAACAATTCCTTTAAGTAGGTGTTGTGCATGAAAGAGGTGTGACCGTTAATTAAACACAGTGCAATCAGTGTTACTTAAACTGGCAAACATGTGTGAGCCAACACTGATAATCTCATAATTCCCACCTCAATTGTGTCTGTTACTCATTCGTAAATGGTGTGTGTGCTTATGTGTGTGTACCCACGCTGAGGTGATAGCTCTGTAGCGCTCCAGGCCAGCCGTGTCCCAGATTTGAGCTTTGATGGTGAGGTTATCAATCTGCACGGTCCGTGTGCTGAACTCGACACCGATGGTGGTACGGCTGTCATGGGCGAACTCATTCTTGGTGAAGCGAGACAGAAGGTTGCTCTTTCCTACGCCAGACTCTCCGATCAAAACCACTAAACAAACACACACAACAGGTATTGAAATGGCTCTTAATCCTTTATTTGATTAAAAAACTAGATACCAATAACACTGAGTATTAGAACAAATCAAGGATAAACCTATCTCATGGTAACTTGCTGAAACATATTCTTTTATATCCAGACTTTCTGTCACCCTCAAAAGATACTAGACACTATGACACCACACAGACGTGGCACATCTCCCCTGGGGCTGATTTCACTTTGGAATGGATGGAAGTTTATTTTAATAAGGAACATGCACATGCTCATGAGGCTCTTTGTAAGGTTATAACGTGTAGATTATATGTTTCTACAATAGGTCAAAGGTTAAATGGTTTACAGCCGAATGGATACAGAGCGATCACTTCCTACTTTCCCTGCTCTATTCACTTCCTTGGAAATAGCAGCAGGCAGCTACAGCCGGAGTTGTACCTGCCAGCTTCATTGTCTACAAATACGCAATAATACACAGAGAAAAAGACATTCATGTCTTCCTACACAATCACAGCTTAAGCAAACATGACTCACCTTTAAAGACAAAATTGTACGAATCATCAGACCCCATGCTGCACTCAGAGGCGAACGGTTCCTGCTTTGCTAAGTAAATATCCTGAAGGCACTTTAAATATTAGCTCCCAAAGTAGAGTTTAAAAAAGAAAGAAAAACAGAAAGAAAGAAAAAAAATCCAGCCTCAGTCCTGAGTCTCTCTCTCCGATGTGGAGAGAGAGCAAAGGTGAAGAAAAGAATGGAAAGAAAAAAGGGAACTGGTTGAGCCGCTTGCTTCTTTATCTACGCATAGTGGGTAGCTTCAGATTGAGGGCAGGCAGTCCTGAGCTCTCATCAGCTGACACCCAAAGGAGGGCTGGAGGGAGGAGAGCAGGTGGAACAGGTAGAACCACTGGCAGGTAGTCATGAAGCGTCTCCACCCTCTGCTGCTCTATTCACGCACTGATTCTGATCATTTGTGGTGTGACCTCACTTAAAAGGTGGTTTCTGTGTGCAAACACACGTCATCATTCCCCACCTTTCTGATCATTAAACTTGGAGTTAAGAGTGCTTTATAGTGTACTAACTATTATGTAACACACTGCTTAAACAGAATTTAATAAGCATATAGCAATAAGTCAGTTAAACTTCTGGGATATTTAACTGATCAGTTAAGTAGCAGCGGGGATTGTTATTCAGTTTCAGCTGCTTTAGTGTTGATGAGATTAACAACAGATGCACTAGAGAGGCAACAGTGACAGTTGTCCCTCATCTAGTTTTGCATTTGACAGTGTAAATATCTCTGACCGAACGATCAGAAACAGACTTCATGAGGGTGACTGAGGGTTCTCTATGGACTGCGGAGCCGGAGCCCAGCTGGCATTTAGTGTAGAAAACCAGAATTGCCAAGTACACCACTCGTGAATTGTGCTTATCACCGATCAGAGCAGGTTCACCCTGACAGACCAGCTGGAGAAGCTGTGACAAACTTTGTTTCCTGTAACAATGTTTAGCACGACCAGTTTGGTGGTGGGTCAGTGATGTTCTAGGGAGGCATATTCATGGAGGGACAAAGGCTGACTGCCATTAGGTATCAGGAGAAAGTCCTTGGACCTGCCATCTGACCCTACACTGATGCAGTGGGTCCTGGATTTCTCCTGGTGCACAATACTTGGCCTCATGTGGCGAGAGTACACAGGAAATGGGAAATGGCCTGTATTTGTATAGCACTTTTTACTAGTCCCGCCTAGGGACCCCAAAGCGCTTTACACACCCAGTCATCCACCCATTCACACACTGATGGAGGCAGCTACAGTTGTAGCCACAGCTGCCCTGGGGCAGACTGACAGAAGCGAGGCTGCCATATCGCGCCATCGGCCCTTCTGGCCAACACCAGTAGGCGGTAGGTGAAGTCTTGCCCAAGGACACAACGACCGAGCCGGGGCTCGAACCGGCAACCTTCCAATTACAAGGCGAACTCCCAACTCTTGAGCCACGATCGCCTCTGGGATGTATGAACTGGTATCAGTGACCCCACCCACATTTTCTTGACCCAAATCCAATAAAACACCTCTTGGACATTATTATCATCATTATTATTATTATTTCAGTCCGTCTGACACCATCAGGTTGCACCTCATTCTCCAGATCATGGATGCCCAGATCTAGATCCGAGAGGAGACCATCCAGTCTCATTAGGAGCCTACCTTGACATTGCATTTGCAGTATGCATACCTGATAAACTGAAGCTTTGGTCAAATTGACTAGTCTGCCACATCTTTTTTTCACTTGTGTCTTTAAATTTAGCCACCTGTAGGCTAATAATTACTATTTCCTTTAAAATATCTGGCATCCTTTCATTCCTAACCAATTACCCAGTCTATATCAATGTAGATATGAAGCATTTCCTTTTTTTCTTCATAGATCTGATGTGTTCAAAATGTTCCTTTACGTTTTTTTAAAGTATATTTTAATTATCGTGATTAGCAGAACACAGCTACAATCGATCCTATATGAATACAAACCAGGAAACACAGTTCAGGCTCACACAGTAATTCATAACTCAGCACTCTATAAGAAGATAGCGTGTTATTGTTATAGTGACATGTTTGTCTTACAGACTATTTGTGACTGTATAAAATCTGAATTACCACGTTATTTTTGTAAGAAATACAATATTTGAATCAATAGAAAAGATAAAAATAATATACAGTAAGTTCATTTTTGACAAGACATTTCCTTACAAATAGTGAAAATATTGATTTTAACTGACTAAATTAATATCAGAGATGAAAACACTTCCTGGAACTTTTAAGCATCATTAATAGTAATCTGTGTACTTTTCTGCAAGCTTCCAAGGTATTTAAAATTAAAATATTTAAAATATCATCCAATTAGTGGTACCAAACTAAAACCTTAAAGGATGGCCAACTGTGTTTAAAAACAAAAAAAAATAAAAAATCCCTCCAAAAGTAGATTTAATCTTACAGATTTCAACATTTCACATTTAACAAAAAAACAGAAACAAAGTTCAATGACTTCATACAAATTAACTTTCATAATCAACTGACACATGTGTGGGCTGTTTTTAAATCATGTTTTATTTTTTTAGTACAGTACTGTTAAAAGTTAGTTCCAACATGTTCAATTCGGAGATGGATTTTCTTTTTTTCCAGCTGAGGTCAACAGACAAAGCAAAGCTATAGCAGCAGTTGCCAAGGTTACCACAACTACATTGCTGAGAATTTCAAAAGGAAAAAAATAAAAAAAATAAAATATAACAACCTAGGCTTGATTTGAGAAATTTATGATGCCACTGTACCAGAGTTGTTTGTAAAGCCATTCCATCGTTCATTTTTCGTTAATCATTTGATTTCCATTTTATTTTGATGAGACAAATCACCTCTAGGTACTAACTGCACCTTGAAAGAGAAATTAAAATGAAGAATAAGATTAAAACGAAAGGAAAACTTGTTTCATTCTTATTCATTCTAACTGCGCCCTCTGCTTCAGAGACGCTGCGATGTGATATCTGATTATGGCTAAAGTTCTGGATGGTGCGTGAAATTTTCTTAGTTGGGGCAGGGTCCTCAATAACCCACTGAGTGAGGCAATTCACTGATGATAGGGCAGTGGAAGACAGCAGGCACAGCAATGGTGCCTCAGTGGGGAAAAGCCACTGCACCTGTGAGTGGGCACTTTTATCTTGAATGACGTATTATGTCATGTTATTAAGAGCTTGCAATAAATAGTGAAAGCTGTTGGGGAACGACAGCCATTTAAGTAGAATCTTTAGAACAAGGAAAGGAGGAAATAAGGTGGATCATCTGCGTGGACAAGCTACCTTCCTGCTAACACTCAGGTTTGCCACCTGTAATCAGAAAATCTTCATTTATCAATTTGCTAGTTAAATACCAGCAAACCTCACAGTAGCCATGTAGGAAAAAGAGCCAGATGCCAATCACATCACGTGGGTTCAATTTGTATCATGAAAATGTTAACCTGTAGCACTCTACTCCAGTTTTACATGAAGAAAACAATATATAGTGAAAATGGTAGGGAATCCCTTTCCAGGAGAGATTTTCACTCTTATTCTCTGCACCAGAATACCCTTTACGGTAAGAGTGGTTCAGTCCAACTCTACGGCAGCACTCTTGACAGAGATCTGGTTGGATGGTGGCAAAGAGTGAAAGTATGGGAAATGGGGCATGATCTGAGAACAGATGTAGAGTGAAGGTCTTATAGATCCTGCCCACGTTCGTTCCGTTAAGTTGGGGACAATACACTGAAATTTATTTTGGTTCTCTGTAGATGCTGGGTGTTTTTGTGAGTTAGGTATGTATGCGCATGTCTGTGTATCACTAGGTACTGTATGTCTTTACGAGGGCTGTGAGCCCAGAAGTCTCTCGATTGCAGCATTGATGTCTCCTCCAGTAGCTATGAGCGCCTGCAGGTTGGCCTCGCGGTTGATGAAGCCCATAGCATTAAGCTGGTCCAGCTGGGACTGGAACCGAACCTCTGGGGTCTGGGTCTACAACGACAAAATGAGATGCGAGACAAATTATACTAGTACCATACTGTGACCATGTCCATTCCCCCCCCTTTTTTTCTGTAAAGCAGTCATTTCATCTGAGAGCACACATGTTCACAAATTGTACAGTATTGTGCAAAAGTCTTGAGCCACCATTTCTTTATATTTTGCTTAGCCACTTTTCTGTCCTTTTAAAAAGCGTCCTCAAGAAGGCTTTTTGAAGGCCTTTCAATGTTTTTCTTTGGCTGATTTTCCTTTTACCTGACCATTTTCACAGGAATGTTATTTGACCACTTAACACAGGCTGATAAATCATCCACCCAAAGATAACAACCTAACTCAAGTGTTCCACCTAGTTATGTTTATGTATGTGACTAGAGAGCTAGAGACCAGTGAAACAAAGCAGCACTTGATGACAAAAAAGTTCAGGATATCCTCAACTCATCACACTATTGCTGTCATTTGCCAGAAGTACGCTTCAGCGACTCATCACCACGCTGTGGACACCTTTTACAAAGTTTATTCGTTATTCATTTCTAAGTGTTGACATTATTCAAATATTTTAAAGTGTAGTGTGTACCCCAGTGCTCACTGTACCTATGATTACACACTTGAATTAAGAGGGGTAAGAAAAATTGAATTCAGTTAACTGCAATTTGCAATCTACTGACATCTAGTGATATTTTACAGACTTTACCTTTAAGACAAAGGAAAAACTCCAGCAAAGACCTGACACAGGACCAGCAAGGTACATCTGGTCCTTCAGTGGATCGCTCACTGAAGTCTCATCATATATGGTCTAAACGGAAGGCGGCTGTCAAGAAGCCATTTCATAAGGAGGACAAACAGTGAGAAAAGGCTGAGGTATGTCAAAATCCAGTGTGAGATGATCTTGACAGAGGATGGAACAAAAGGCAGCAAACATCCATAGAAGAGCTTTAAATGTCCTTCAAGAAGCCTAGAGATCTATTCCCGAAGACATGACAAAACAGCTGCCTAAGAGAGTTCAGACTATGTTGAAGAATAAAGATAGTGAACCCAAATGTTGACTTTAAACCTTGTTAAAACTGAAAAAAAAACTCAGTTTTTATACTTTTCCATGTTTCAATAAAACACTGGAACTATGTCCTATTTTACCACCAAAATATAAAAAGAAATGTGGCTCAAGACACAGTACTGTAATTCCTATGCATGTGTACCGTTGCGCTTCCGCCTCCACCTCCTCCTCCAGCAAACATCTGGAGCATCTGATGCATCAGCTGCTGCTGGGCAATGTTTGTTCCAG